CTGCATTTGGCAGCATTGGAGGATAGGCAAGTTGAGGCTGCATTGGTACTCGGGATCCGTACGGATAGTGATGTTCTCCGGTAGGGAACATTGGTGCATGATGTGGTCCAGATGGATGTAGCGGATAACCCGCTGCAGCTGCAGCCAAAGCCGCGGCTTGTTGTTGCTGCCGTTGTAAATGCATCTGGTATTGTTTCACGTCTACCGATCGAGGTCGGCGCATCACAACGTAAGGGACTTCCTCCAACATATCGGCGGCGGCATTAATTCCATTCAGTAGGACCATATCGGCATGTATGTGGTCAGTTTGCTGTGAAGTGACCTCCGTTGCCCGACGACGAGTACGTCGTTCGTCCGGATCGACAGATTCTTTATTGCGTCGTTTTTCCCCTCCCGGATTCGAGGGGTTGGGACCTTGTGCTAGAGAAGCTGTCGGTTCCAATGTGGACCCAAGCGCCGTGGTGTTGATAGACCCAGAGTCCAGTAAACCACTTAGATGAACACTGCAAGNCTGCAAGGGATTGACTGTGATAAATTGTGCGCTCGTGAACAGGTATGTGCATGTGTCGGTTGTTTACTACGATGTGACGGTCGAGAGGGCAGAGTATTCAGTGGAAGCACAGGTAATGGGCCATTAGTTGCGCCCGATGACAAATGTGTGGAATGAGATTTTGGATGCATTCCGGTGTCCGCACTGACGGGTGTTGTTGCTGTCGTATGAGGCAAAGCGTGGCTCGACTGATGTCGAGCCTGGATAGGAGTAGCGTGCGGACACCCGGTACTGTGTTGTGTGATACGGGATAAACTGGAAGCCAGATCCGGTCGAAGAATCACTCCGGTAGTACTGTCCGAACCACTTGAGCTCCACTGATCGACAGAGCCAGAAGTCGGAAGTGGTTCGTTTGTATGACTTCCTTGTAGCTGACCAGAGCTCTGTCCGACTGTGGTCGATGTGGTGCACGGTTGACTGACCACAGTCACAGCATCGACCGGTCGGGAAACATCAGCTGTCGAAACGGTAGTCTAATAACGGGTAAATGATGAAAAAAATTAGTGGATAGGCACATTGAATACAGAACTCGGTTTACTGTAAAAAAAATGTTTCCGAGCACATAAATTAGGCATATCTTTCTAGATTAAAAAAAATGAATTAAAATATGAATGAGTTTCACGCAACATCTGGTTCGTGTATTGATGAGATTACCACTACATACAGCTCTTTGCTGCTTAAACTTCGGCTTATTCAAACCCAATGAAATCAATTTCTACACCGTCTGTTATGCTATAATCAGATCACTTAAACCATAGTCGGATGAACTCGGGGTTTTTCCGTCATCCAGATCGTGATCATGATCATTTTGAGGAGAGTAATTTGATTTTAACGGAGGTCTTAATATAAAATATGCCCCTGTTCCAATTTCATTAGGCCCCTGATGGGGCCAATCGATCACGAGAAATTCATGGAATTGTTGTGAAAATACAGGTTTCGCGGAAAATGGACTTACCGTTCGATGTCGCGTTTAGGTAAAATGCCTTTCTCCCAACGAAATATTTTGTCCACAAAAACCAAGAGATTCGTGGATAGCATAGGCATTGATCCAACTGGCGCTCAATTAACGTGAGAAGAGATTCGCGAGATTTTCAAATGAATCTAGTCATTATTTACCTAATCTGTGGTCTGCCGTAGCAACAGAGAAAAGACCCAGTCCATGGAGCTCTACGGGTTGCAACCTGATTCAGACGAACGTAGTAGCAACAATACCATTTTTTCCACAAAGAGCTAAAGACTCGGGAAGCTTTGTGAATAAGCATTGAATTAACTTCTATCAATTGAAAAAAGTGTTCATCCCCAAATCACTATTTACCTTGGCTATGATATAATTCATATCGTTATAAGCAGTTGGCTTTATTTTTCAGTAACAATCGAAGAAAAACAAAGTTCAATAAAAATCGAGAGGGAGAGAGAGAAAAACGATTCGCGGTTTCGCATCAAAATTATTGTGGCCTTATAATGACTGTAGTCATTCCTGCACTTATACATTATGCCGATTATTCCACAACTTATTAGTGAGGATAGTGAATTAATCTGAGGAGAAAGTAACCAATGGAATCTATTGCAATATGTCATGCAGCCAATCACAGTGGACCCTGGTTAAAAAAGCCAATGAAAACCATGTCACACACATGTTTGTTTGTTTGTTTGTTTGTGTGTGTGTGTACGTGTGACTCAATAAAATGAGCCCAAAATCCGATTGAATGACCAAACTGGACTGATCGTGTACATATCCACAAGTGATACCCAACGTGGTATGTAGAAATCGAGACGCGACGGAAAATGCCATTAAATCTTCATATATGGCAATACATTATTTACTGTTTGCTATTCACCTCCTTATTTGATGAGAGAGAGAGATACAAAAGACGGGCTAATTGAACGCAATAAGTGCCACAAAAAAATAAGGATTCTAATGAGATATATACATGTATGACATGGAATGCCACAATTTCAAATTAATCGATCGAGTAAAACCGAATTTCGGAATTCCGGAATGTCCATACGATCATACACATTCGGATGAAACAGTAATAATTGGAAACAGCACATACACCTATCAATACTGCAAAAATACTCACCTCATCCAACGGGATGACCAATCGGACACGATCTCGCCGCAACTACTCGGCAATCCGTTCACCTTGAGGTTGACGAACGGGAAAATCTGTTTGTTTCCTTGTGCGCGCGCGTGCGTGTGTCACACGTGCTTGTGCATATGTCTGGAGCTGTGTCGGTGGAGTGTTTGTTGACTGGTACGTGTGTGTGTGTGTACATTTGCATAGGTCTACTAATCGACCGTCATATTTTGGGCGATCGAATACAAACTCTCGCATGGAAGCACACGCGCGCGCACGGACGCACAAGAGCGCGCACGAACGCACGTCCATACAAGTGCACTGACGAGGATCATCGCGCATCATATATAAAATCTATCGGAGCCCAACTTTCGTCCAACGCTTTGTCCAGAATAGCTGGTCCAACTGGTATGTATGCACACAAGCCTCTGGGTTACGTAATAATCCTAATGTAAGCGGCGTAGAACGCATCCACGCATAATGACACACTCACAAATGAAATGAACCTTTTTGTCAATGCAAGGGGTGAACAGTGCTGAGAGAAGCGGTTTGTGTGTGGGTGTATGTACCTGAGTGAAGAGTAACACTCACGGTCGATTGGGGTGACCAGTGTGACCTTGACAGAAGAAGCGCATAAATGTGCGTCCCGGTTGTCACAGCACTATAGTCCCGTCAGTTAAAACGTACCTTTCTGCCCAGGGGTTTTACTGGTTTGGCATACCTGAAGCTGTATATCCGCACTCAGCTGGGTTTAACATTAGAATAAAAAACCACACGATACTTTCGGCAATCTGTTTCAAAAACCAAGCTACGATAAGATATCATGGTTCTCCGCTGTGGAGGGGACACGGCATTAAGTCACTTGGGCCCACAGATATGCGTTGCTGACGTCATTATTAATAATGTTAGACAGCGGCACACTGGTCCTTCTCTTTCTGATAACATCTGATGCCTTCACAGAATAAAACAACCCTTCCGAGTACCTTCTCGGTTTTGTTACGTCATCGCGAAAAATGCCTACTAAGGATACTCAAGGCATTACCGATCGCCCTCAACCAACGCCCTTTGTGTGTCGAAAGGGCTTATGGACTTTTGCTGTAACCGGTCGTGTGCAGCACACAATAAAATCAAACTATTTTTCCTAATTCACTTCGTTTATCTATCTCGTTTAATGTTACTCGTAAATGACTGAAATGCGGACGTCGTTCTGTGCAAATACAAATGGCAGGATGCAAAAGGAAGTTCTCTCGCAGCGGTTTTCTTCTGATTGGCCTATTCAAATTCACTACGGGACCTAACTGTTCCGGAATTCGAAAAGAAAAAGACCCAATTTTTATTCGTTCAGAAAGTCTCGGAATTAAACACTCACCTCTGTGCTCATAATCCCGGATGCAGTGGTAATGGCTCGCGCGGAGAGCGCTTGAATTGTCGACGGTGAGAATGCACTATCCAAACCATAGGTCACTTGCTCTGTGGAGACGGAAGTGATCGGTGTGCGCTGCTGAAGTGTCGCAAAGTCAATTGATTGTTGATCCGCAATCTGTGCTCCAACAGTCCCGAATGGGCCGTATGCCAGGGAAGTTGGTGTTGTCATTGTGACCGTGCCGGTCAGTGCCGCGGGGGCGATTGTGGTTGAGGCAGTGTCTGGTCGCGTATACCAGTGCATCACAGTATCCATCATATTACCGGGTTGTACATTGTAGACCGCGGCATCCGTGACTGGAGTCTGAATGCCCGTGAAAAGAGTTTGACGTGTGGAATCCATGGGCCGGGACTCCTGTCTGTCCATATTGATCTCCAGTCCGAATTGGGTAACCGTAGGTAGAATGAACAAACCATCCTGAGCGCGAAATTCGAATTGACCCAGCACATTCGGAATAGGGTCTGCAATATGACCGTATTAAAGAATTGGAGGTAGATATCGCACATTTACTGAACGTAGTCGCAGTAGCAATGCGTTTGGCAGACAGTACGCATTGTGCAAACCGTCAGATACGGAATTCGATCATATCAAAATGAGAGTCTTAGTCCTACAAATCTGTTAATTCGTTACACTTCGTATATAAATATAAATATATATATCTCATATTTTTCACACGATATAAAGCAGCGTAAAGGAGGTCAGATGAAAACACGCTGGCAGAATATGACCAAATTTCACAAATATGTTAGCCTGATACTCAGGGGAGTATTCGGACATTGGACACGAGTTTCTGGTTGGCAAATCACAACAACAATTGACACGGCAGTGATTTGACATTTCTAGCTGAAATGAATCATATTGCGAACGTGACCGCGGCATCCCGCCCCATCTCTGTAAAGGGTTCACGGTTGACCAGCCAAAAANGCCAAAAATAGGTTCGCAGCTATACGCTTGCCACAGCGAAAGCGGCTTACTCTCTGCTTACTCCCATCCCCGCACACATCCTAAGCAAGCTTCAAAAGCGTGTGTGATTGATCATTACGAACCCCATATTCAATTCCGAAGGTGAAATCGACTTCCAGATAATCAGCAATGTGAATTTTCCCTTACCCAGAATAATTCTCCTATTTCGACTACTGATATACATATATGTTGTGATGAATGGGTTATGGCCGGGAACCGTTGAAGGGGATGCTCCCTGATACTCAGTATTCTTCAAGTGAATAATTGAGAAGTTGATTCAATTTCCAATGTGAATTTGTCGTGTCCAAAGCAAATGAAGCGTAAACTAAATAGCTAGGAAGCATTGGACAGCTGTTTCGACCTGGTTGGGTGTCATCAGCAATGCGATAAGATTGACCCGAAAGGGGATCGAGCCCGGGACCTCACAGGTAGAACGCAAGCATGTTCTGTTTGAAGTG